TACAGTGATAACTGAAGTGATGTTATCCATGTTAATGTATGTGAGATATAGAGAGTTCGGTAGGTTCTAGAAGCTTGTAATGATTCGCTTGGACCGACAGGTGCCGCTCATTTCCCTTCAGCTTAGTGTGGGAGTTAACAAATTAAATCCCTGTCTAATGAGTTTAATGGATTAATAATAGAATTAATATGTTATATGTGCATAACACTTTTGAATTAAAACTCGCTATTAGCCCTCAAATGGTTCAGGTTAGGATAAACTGAAGTATCCACATTTAAGCAGCTTCCTTTGAATTAAATACTAATGCTTTTTAAATGCTAAAATCAGTGACAAAAGCAACATCTCGTTTTATTCTCTCACTTCATTTCTTTATTTTTGCAATGTCTACAGGCAACATGCAATTTAAATGATTAATTTATTACGTTGTTTAAATGAATACATTTAACGTTACATTGTATAACTGATTTCATAATAATACCATTTATAATTATTTTGTATATATAAATTCATTTTACATATGCATTTATATATTTAAGAAATCTTTGCATGTTTATACTGTATTTAAACATAATTTATATTATATATAAATATTTGATATATAAATAACACCTTTGCCTTAAATATATACATGCATTTTATATATATATATAGGCTATATTGTGTAAACACAAACTTTTATTTTGGATGCAATTAATCACGTTTGCGCTTCCTTCTACTGCCATTTCATTTGCTTTTCACACATAATAACTCAATGTCTGAGATGTGCAAATGACCCTCGTCAAATAGTGTGTGTGTGTGTATGTAATATTGTGTTTTTCCCACGCTCTCACAGATGCCGGAGGCGCACGACCAGCCGATGGAGGCCGAGGAGGCCGAGACCTTCGCTTTCCAGGCTGAGATCGCTCAGCTCATGTCTCTGATCATCAACACCTTCTACTCCAACAAAGAGATCTTCCTCAGGGAGCTCATCTCCAACTCTTCAGATGTGCGTAATCTTGGATACCCAGCACTGGAAATTACTGTAAAACCATAACAAGAATTGGTAACACTTTATTTTACAGTGATGTTACATGTAACAGTAAATTATGCATAAATTACATGCAACTAACCCTCAACCAAATCCTAATCCTGTACATAATCTCTAGAGTAAACACCAGTTGCTTAATATTACCCAGTACTTAAATAAATAATTACACTAACAATGAAACCTTAAAATAAAGTGTTACCCACTTACAATGTCTCATAAGAAAATTAAAGTCCCCGGTTTTGACGTATTTCCAAGTGAAAATTAATATTGAGTCGTTTCAATCTACAGTATGTTCAATGTAGGGTACAAAAGTAGGAACCTTTAAAAAGGTTGCATTCCATAAATGCATGCAAAAAACTAAACAAACACATTACAAGCAATTTATCAACGTTTTTCAGTGTTTTAATAAAACAGTAAAACGCATAAGGAACTAAATATTCTGTTTTCCATCAGGCTTTGGACAAAATCCGCTATGAAAGCCTCACAGACCCGAGCAAGCTGGACTCAGGAAAAGACCTCAAAATCGAAATCATTCCCAACAAACAAGACCGCACACTCACGATCATTGATACCGGCATCGGCATGACCAAAGCGGACCTCATTAATAACCTGGGCACCATCGCCAAATCCGGCACAAAGGCCTTCATGGAGGCCCTTCAGGCTGGAGCCGACATCTCGATGATCGGTCAGTTCGGTGTGGGTTTCTACTCCGCGTACCTGGTGGCCGAGAAAGTCACGGTCATCACCAAAAACATAGATGACGAGCAGTACGCGTGGGAGTCGTCCGCCGGCGGATCCTTCACCGTTAAAGTGGACAACTGTAAGTGGATACCTTTAAATACCAACGTCTTTGAATTGTTTGAAGCCTCTGGTGTTTTTCGCTTGTCGGTCAAAAATGGGCGAAATTAATTTTTTTTATTTCAATTAAATTAATGTACTATTTTTTAGTTCGCTAAGGTTTTTTAAAAATATTTTATATTGATTTTATGGTACTAAATTAAATTTACGCTTTTTTTATAATGCATTTATTCACTTTTTTCTTGAGCGTCGACATGAAAATTAAACTTTAATTTGTAATTTTTTAGACCGACGGACTGAAGTTTGATCTCTTTTTAAAGACAACACGTGGCAGATTATTGCTGACGTGTAAAAAGTGAACTTAAAAGAAAGTTACAGAATTTTACATTTATTGTTATGAAAATGTGCAAAAATACTATTTTTAATATTTTCAACCAAAAAAAAATTACTCTAAAAATGTAAAAATACACAGCATCATTAAACCTTGGCCATGATTTTTTTTGTGTGTTCGCATAACAAGTGCCAAAACCTTTACCAAGTTTCGAACCATTCCGATAAAGTAAAAAAAAAAATCCGTCAAAAGTTACCAAAGAGCACCAGAGGGTTAAAGACGATTATCTTTGAATCATTGTCCTGGAACTGTAATGTGAAGTGAGTGTTTTCTACAGCCGAGCCGATGGGCCGCGGCACTAAGGTGATCCTGCACCTGAAGGAGGATCAGATGGAGTACATCGAGGAGCGGCGGATCAAAGAGATCGTGAAGAAGCACTCGCAGTTCATCGGCTACCCCATCACGCTCTTCGTGAGTCTTTCATTGTTTTAAATATGTTTTATTTTTATTTGTTTTATGTATTTACATTTATGATTAAATTATTAGCTTCAGTGTGGGGAAACCCTGGTTTAGGTTAATTAATTTAATTTACTTCCAGGAGGTATTTTGTAGAAGTTTATTTGCTTAAAAAAAATAAATAAATTGTGGTATTTTTTTTTTCCTGCAATGTATCTTTCAGCCACTATTCCTTAATTAAAAAAAGACCATATTTAATTATTTTTTTTGTATTTTGTTTAATTTAAATTGTTGCTAACATACTTTATAATTTAACTACACCTACTATATTTATTTATTTTTATTTTATTTGTAGAAAAAGACAAAAGGGACAATACATATTAATGAACATTTTTCACAAATGTAAATATGCCAGATTATAGCCATAGGCTAATTTCCATCTGCAGACCCCCAAGCATACATATATATTTAGATCTTTAGTATTTTTTTTAAAACCTTTTCATAATTTAAAAAAAGAATTTTTGTTAATTTGTTTAATGTTTAATTAAGCTAATATTCTATACTTTACTTTTATTTAAAATTCATTTATCATTTATCATATATCATTTAGCTACTATTCCATAATATAAAAATAACGTATTTAATTTTTTTGGTATTTTGGTTATTTGACATTTTTTGCTGATACAATGTATCATTTAACTATTACATCATTTAAAAAAGTGAAACTTTTTCAAAAGTACATAGAAACGTCACACTCGACTAGTTACTTTTATGGAGCAATAATTACATTTCAATTGCTTTTTTTTAATTTAGCAATTTATTATATGAAGCAATAATTACATTTCAATTGCTTTTTTTTTAATTGAGCAATTTATTAATGTGTACAGTACACATTTCTTCTTAGGGAATATTTGAAGATCTTACTTAAATTAACTTGTATAATTGAGGAAAATGACAATCCTATCCCTCTCATGCATGTACAGATTAGTAATTTGTAATATGAAAAAACAACAACAACATGTTTTCTTTTCAGGTCGAGAAGGAGCGCGACAAGGAGGTGAGCGATGATGAAGAGGCGGAGGAAGAGGAG